GTGCATGTTACAGTAACATCCGCATGACTGCAAAGACCTGAGGGTAACCCCAGCAAGTCGTCACATATTAATGAAATGATTGCTCGCGTCACCTGTTAAGTAGTTTTAATGTGTTATTTACAAAATACAAGCTGTGAGTCGGAGTCTCCATGGTGATGTTTGCAGATTACATTATGGTCTGTAGTGAGAGAAGGTGGATGAGTTTAAATAGCTGGGGTCAACCACCCAAAGCAAAAGACAGTGCACAAGAGAGAGGAAGGAGAGAGCAGGCAGGGTGGAGTGGGTGAAGACGAGTGTCGGGAGTGACTTGTAAGATAGTGGACATATTGGACAAAGGATGCAAAGTATCCAAAATAAGAAGAAGAAGAAGAAGAAGAAAAAAAATGACCTTCTGGGGAATATATGTAGCTCTTTATGTACTAAATACTTCACTTTGTAAAGCTGTTTGCGTACTTTTTCAAGTATCTATTTACTTCTGGTCAGGGAGCATACACATACACAGACTATTACATCATCATTATATTAAAGTTATGAGTCACAAAGACATATTAATGACCTGAAAGATACTAAAAAGTCCATAGTGCTGACCAACGGAGGATATTGATGCTGATTGTGCTTTGCTGCTATTAAGTTTCCTTAAACTAAAACACGCTGCTGTGCCATTAATTATCCTAATCTGAACCAAGTTGCACTGCATTACACAGAGTTGTAGCAGGCTGCAGGATGCCTGCAGTGACTAAAATGTTTGTGTTGCACTGTGTGAAAGAAAAATGTAACGACCGGGATGAATGAAATAAAGCACTTTGTACTTAAGCATGCGGGATTGCATAACTAATAGTAAATAATTAGGTGGACTATCAGGAAAAAGATAATCAACCACTTGATACATGCATGGAGGTCAAAGTAGACATTTAAACATTAAAGTAACGTCATAAAAATATTTTGCCTTTATTGTCTGCAGTGACATAACATGACATATTTTCCTTGTCATGCCACTGAGACTGTTTTTCTCTGCTTGTAGAACAGATAATGAAGGCTTATTTTAGTCGAAGAGCCAAGGAACAACTGATATAATTATTAATTCTTTGAAACCACAGCTATGAAACTGACAGAGGTGGAGACTTCATGCATTTCCAAAATTTTCAGGCCAAGAATAATTTTACAGGAATGATGGATTTGGGCGTTACTGCAAGGGAGAAATATTTGGGAATGCTGGAAGAACAAGTTCAGCCGAGTTTAATGATAGCGCAATAACAACACAGATGATAAAGAAGGAGCAGCAGCAGCGGGGGGGGCATGTGATCGATTAAAAAAAACAACAACTAAAAGGCCTTCAACAATGCTCTCTAATCTCTGACTGCACATCTTGCTCCTTTACAGCTGCACCATGCAAAGAGGAGTTTAAAAGGTGAGTGCCTGCAGCAAACACACACACAGTTAGAGAGGTCCATGTGCGTTACCTACCACATAGTAGAAATGCATGTCTGCGCGCACAGGTCGGTCTCATAAGTGCTGGAAGCGTGCAGGTGAGCGGCGTCCATCCAGCAGCGGCATTAGCCAGCAGTGCGCGTCTGTCCCAGGTACAGATACTCCAAACTGGATGCTTCTGCTCCCCTTCCTCTTTCCCAATGTTGCTCCTGACCCCTCTCTCTTTCTCTCTTCCCTCCTGCACTTGACGTTTACTCCTCCCCCTCCTTGTTTTTCTCCTCCCCACATGACTTCAGTGCCTCCCCCTCTCTCTTTCTCTCTCTTTTTTTTTGGTTCCACTTCCTCTCTTTTCTTTTTTTCTTTCATCGCTTTTCCAGTGTAATTACTTCCCCGCCCCCAATCCACCACCTTTATTTTCTATCTTTCTTTTTTCCAGCATCATTATTTAATTTTATTTTTCAGATCATGTGTCATTTTTTTTAACAGTTTTGTAAATGTTTTAGTCAGTAAAGCAGGGGGAGAAGTCGCTCTGTCTCTCTGGGCGTCTCTGTGCTGATTGCAGATTGGTGTCAGTTCTTCCTGTGTGTGTGTGTGTGTGTGTGTGTGTGTGTGTGTGTGTGTGTGTGTGTGTGTGTGTGTGTGTGTGTCATAGATAACACGGCGTGCTCTCCGCTGTCAGAAACAGGAAGAATGGAGCTCTGTAGTTTGGCCCTGATGAGAGAGCCTTCCCCTCCGTGTGTGTGCGCACTGGCGAGCCTATCCTTGTGAGGACCGCACTGAGTGTTTTTGACCATGGAGGTGAGGACAGTTTGTGGGACATCTTCAAAGGCCCACCTCCTACATCATTCCCTCTCTCACCTGAAGAACTCTGGGAGCACTGTGAGAAAGGATACTCCATGGATCTACCTCAACGACCGACCACAGTATGTGATAACTCAGGGCTGTGTGTCGGACAGGGTCGTCTGCAGTACAGTCATTCCTGTTGGAAAACAGAGAGTCCGCAGGTCTTTTCTTCCTACTGCTGTCAGACTCCACAAGAAAAAGTTTGCAGCTGAGCAAACACACACATCTACACATGTGCAATAAAACTAAGTGTATTTTTTTCTGACAGTGTAGTATTTTATTATATTGTATATAGTATGTTATTCTTTTTCCTATTCCACTGTTTTTCTTTAATTTTGCTGCTATAACTTTGCACTGTCTACTTTCTGCTGTGACAACAATTTCCCCACGTGTTTGACTAATAAAGGTTTATCTATCTATGTATCTATTTAAAAAACACATCTTTAGAAAGTAAAGAGAGTATTTCTCTGTATTTGAATTAAAAAGGGAAAATGTGCTAAAATCAAATCTAATTGAAGTAAAATTACATAAAGATTCTAGATTCTTTATGTCACGTGCATAGTCATACGAGTACAACACAAAGTGAAATGTGTCCTGAACTGCTCCTTTGACTGTGGAAAAAAAGACTAATACAATAAGTAAATTAAATTTTAAAAAATTGAAATTTTAAATTAAAAATCTGAAAATGTACATTGTGCGAGTGGAATGTTAGAGTGTCTTGTGCCATGTTAGCACAGCAATGTGTTGACAGCACCCTCTCCACTGGAGCTCTATTGATGATAAGAAGCTTGTACACTTGGTGCTTACTCCTTCTGAAGTCCACCACCAGCTCCTTGGTCTTGCAGACATTCAGCTGTTGTCCTGACACCACGATGCCAGGTTCTTCACCTCGTCCATGTAGGCCGCCTCACAACAATATGGCTCCCCTCGTGGCAGACATGTTTGCGACATGCTCCCGACACCAACTTTATTAATTTTTTATTCTAGTGTTAATGAGTGTGGCACGCAAGACCAAAGCACGGCACGAGAGGCAGGCTACATGCTTAAGTAAAGACTAGAGCCACATGACCACACCACACCACACCCTGGATCCACACCTGGAGCCAATGAAGCTGGCTGCATATAAGACCAGCACACACAGCTAACCTTCCCCAGACTGCTTGCTAACCAGTTGATTCCACAGATACTTTACTCCTCTGCTATTTAAAATATTTTGCACATAAGGATGCTGGCACCGTTTTTACTCACACCTGCCTGCCTACCCTACCTCCTCTGGATCTCTGGACCATTCTCACCTTCAAACTCACCTGGACCTCCACAGTCTTGCTTCCCCCCCTCCCGTGTGCCTCTGTCTGCAACCAATTCCACTGCCCACCAGCTTGCAAACTCCTATTTCCCCCGGTCCTCCATGCTCCTAGCTTCCAGACTCCAGAAGACCGAAGCCAGGATGTAGGACCCAAATGCAGGTCTAGGAGACGGAATGACAAACTAAAGGCAGCAGCTTTATTGCTGAAGAAAAACTTTAACATGAAATACAGGAAAGCTAAACTAGACACACAAACACCAAACTCAAACTAGAAAACTGGGAAACTAGAAACACGGAGGGAAAACGCAGCACGGTGAGGGTACAATGCGACAACAGTGATGAACCATGATGAACTCAAAGATGAATAATAATACAAAACACTGGGTGTTAGGATGCCTGGGTCGTTGACCCAGGGTATTTGAGTTTATTATATTATTTATACTTTTTAGTCTTTGGTTTCTTTGAGTTCTGTCTTATGGTTTATGTCTCTGTCTTCTTTAGTTGCTCTGTCTCCCCTGTCAGCTGTATCCCCTTGTCTAGTTCGCGTCTCTGTGTATCCTTAGTTCCTATATCCCCGTGTTCAGTCAGTGTCTATGTCTGCCCTGGTCCCACGTCTCTGTTCCCTCTGTAGTGCCTGCATGTGAGTCTGTGTTATGTGTTTTACTTTGAAGGTCTCTGTCTTATCTCAGTGTGTTCAGTTTACGCTTCTTTGGTCTCGTCAGTTCTGATTTGCCCCAGCTGTGTTTCCCTCCTGTTACTCATTCCCTGATTGCTCCCTCTGTGTATTTAAGCCCAGTGTTTCTCTGTGTCTGTGTCGTGATCTACCGTTTTCTTAGCTGTGTGTTCTGTCATTTCTCTAGTTTAAGTTTGTTTTGAGTTTTTTCAGTTTTGTTATATTTTGAGTATTAAATTAAAGCCTTTTTTGAGTTCACGTCTGTCTCCGGAGTCTGCACCTTGGGTCCTATTCCTGCCTGCACACAGCCACACCTAACAGAAGATCGCGACCGAAACAGGACCGTTACACAACTAGTTTGTTTTATTACAGCAGTTTGATTTTTAAACATGATTCATTATTTCAACAATATATTTATTGTTGTCATAAACAGACAAGAAGACAACAACAAACTGCTCCACCCAATCAACACATGTCAGTCCAAACTAAATCATCTCCATTTATTTACACACATCAAATAGAAACTTGAATCACTTTTAATGATTAGAGATCTGATAGAATTTCAAATCGAGTTTGGGGAGTCATTCAGTGAGAAGCAGTGAAATGATTTCCCATGTGAAAAGGTGGACAGCAGAAACAGAAAGAAACAGTGAAACAAAGAGCTTTGGAACAACGAGGCAGCAGGAGGACAGCTGCAGTTTAACAGCTTCGAATCACTGACAGGAAACAACATTAGAAATCTCATCATCCTCAACTCATCTGCTCCACTGACACCTTCATCGGACCCACCTTCACTTTACCAGCCACAGTTTCAAAATATGGAAAAATCCTTTGACTGAAAGTGTGTGTGAAGGTGTGTATGTGTGTGCTAGTATCAGGATCAGAGAACGACAGCTTTCCTCTGCTCCAGTCCAGATTCACTCTGATCCTCTGGGGCTTCTTTTCTACTGAGAGAACCGTCTCTGCTGATGGAGACGATGCTGAGTATTCACCTCGATAGAACCAAATTATCCATAATCCAGAGTCTATGTCTCCCTTCCTCTCCACAGACTCTTCTGACACACCCAGTATCCACCCTGTACTCTCTCCAACCTCAACATCCCAGCTGTGAGTCCCTGAGTTAAAGCCCTCCGAGCCAAGGACAGAGCAGGAGTAATCAAACCTCTCTGGATTATCGGGAAGCTGCTGCCTCTCTCCTTCTCGTCTCACACTGGTCACATCTTCAGACAGGATGAGTTCTGGATGAGCAGTGTTTGGGTCCAGAATGATAGGAGTGTAGGAGACCACGTCCTTCATGTTGATCCAGATGTTGAAGGTCAGGTTGCCCAGGTGTTTGGCCTGGTCTATCAGAGCTCCTGAGGGTAGCTGTGGATCATCCAGCAGGGGGCAGCGCTGGACTCTTTCCACTGCAGTCTTGTAGCTGCACAGGAATGAGATGTCTTCAGCTCTCAGCTCCTCCTCTGTGGCTCTGATTGTGTCTGAAAGAGCTGCTATGTCTCTGCTCAGAGCCTCCATCTTCTCCTTCATCATCCCACTCTTCTGCTCCTCTTCCTCCCTCAGTGCATCCAGCCTGGCCTCCTCTTCCTCTGCTAGAAACAGGTGAAGCTTCTTAAACTTCTCCTTAATCTGCCTCTCTGTGTGTCGGGCCTGAACCTTAATGTGTTCTGCTGTTTGATCAAACTTCACTTGAACTTCTTCACAAACCTTTAATTTCTTCTTTAAGGGCTCCAAAGTTTCCTGAAGTTCTTTCTTGTGTTGTCGTGCAGCTTCATCAATGGGTCTGAATCTGTGGTTGGTGTGTTTTTCCGAGTCTCTGCAGACGACACACACTGGCTGCTGATGGTCCAGACAGAAGAGTTTGAGTTTCTCAGAGTGCAGAGTGCAGAGAGCCTCTGAAGCTCTCCGAACTCTCTCCTGTAAGAATGACTCACACAGGTTCTTTAAAGCTCGGTTTAAAGGAGGATCATACACTGATATTTTCTTACAAAATGGACACTCATGTATTGGTCTCTCTCTCCACCATCTCTTCAGACAGTCTTTACAGAAGCTGTGGCTGCATGACAGAAGAACAGGATCTCTGAAGACCTCCTGACAGACTGAACAGCAGAGATCCTCCTCTGATCTGGAAGCCATGAAGTCTGTGAGTGAAGCTGAAAACAGCAGACAGGAAGTACAGTCAGTCCCGGCTCCCTCCCTCCTCTGCGAACTTCACTGAAACTTCCTTTGAGTCGTGTTTTTGGTCAAACTCAAATTCAGTGTGTGGAGCGTCAGCAGTTCGAGGCAGCAGTGTTGGAGTTTTCCACTTTCCTCTCCTGTAGCTGGACTCACTCAGATCAGAGGAAGCTGCTAGTTCGGTCCATACTTAGTCCTCTGTGCGTCTCTTTTTGCTGAGGAAGAAGAACAATCGGTTTCCTAGTTCGCTTCACGCAAGTTAGATAAGGAGAAAAATGTTGCTTCACTTGTAATGCTTCATTCCAGATGTCAAATGTCATCCTGCCATTTGCTAAAAAGCTGTAAAACAGGTTTTCCTCCATTTCAGTTGGACAGGTCACAAAATGAAAACTTTTCTAAAACTTATAGCCGCTACATCACACATAAACGAGAACGTGTTTCATTCCAGAGATCAGTTGTTTACCTGCCAGCAACTGTAAAACAGGTCACAGTAGTCGCACAGGTCCCTCAGCGGTGCAGCTGTTTGACATGCTCTATTTTAGTCTTTGTTCTGGTTATTTGTTAGGTTCCCCAGCAGCGAGAGCATAATGCATTCACACTGTCATGGGCCTGGGTCCCCAGACCAAGGGCTCATGTGTTTTTGTGGACTTGTTTATTTTTTTGAGCTGTCATGTTGATGTCCCTCTTTTCCCCTTTTACTGGTGTGTGTGTATGTGTGTGCAGAAAGTGGCCACACAAGGCAGAGCAGAGGGGGGATGCAATCAGGTTCGAGTACACTGTTATGAGTAATCACTTTACCATGCCAGCTTAACACACAGGACTTCCATTCATTTATTAGCCCAACCTTAAACCCAGTCTTCATCCTAAAAGAGATTTATGTTCTTGGTTGTTGCTGCTTGTCTCCAGATGTGATCACTTTCATGCAAAAGTTTTCATGCAAAGAACGTGAACCTAAAACGTATCATTAATGATTTCATTTAAAGAAAACAATAAATCAGTTACATAAAATGAATCTCAGTAACATTTCAACACAAAAAATGTACAAATGTATGTTTGTAAATTGTATGTTTATGTATATACGATGTATATTTTTATGTATAAATGTACTGATATACAACTCCATTGATTTATTTTAAATACAATTAATAATAAATGTAATAATAAAATTTAATTACATTTACAAAGAAAGAATTACATTTTTGCTACTTTATTCTTTAAATCTGAGCTCGAAACACTGGGGCAGCTTAGAACTGTAGACTGCACTTATCTGGTTTAACCACTAGATGGCTCTAGACTACAACAAGTAAACAGCAGTGCTACGATGGGGAGTGTGTGCCTAAATTGGAAGGTTGCTTTGAAGTTTTCATCGGTATGAACCAGCCGTGACGGCCCATTTGAATCTGCACAGAAACTTGTACTTTTCTTAAGACAACTAATGTCAGCTACTGGTCTTAGTTTTAATCCTTTAAACGAGTCATAAAGCTCCTGGACCATAAAGGAAATGCCCATGCAATGTTTAGACTCTAATTGGTTCTTACAAAGATAGCAATATCAGCGGCAGAGGAAAGTAATTAGGCAAGATTGCCTTTGGAGTGAACACTGCCTCTCGTAGTGGAGCTAATTATGAAAACAACCTGCAGCTACAACTGCTTTCACATCCTCGATGGAAACTCAAGTTAAGACTCACCCCAGGCTACAAACCTTCGTGCTGAACCACAAAGCATCCGAGGCGCTGATCGGGATTTACATGTCAAAGGAAGGAGTCAGTCAAAAATCCTCCAAATCAACTTCAAAGATTACAAATCTTTGATCAACATATTAAAGAGTGTTAAGGGTTTTTTCCTTTTCATCAACAGACAATTAATCACAATTAATTTGCTGTTGCTCTTTTTTCTCTAGGATCCAACAGGATTTATCAGTTTGATTTTAATCAGTTGTTATGAAACCAAAAGACGGAAAGCTCTGTCTGATGTTAACATGTAGACTTTTGTTATTGTCACTACTTTCTTACACGTGTTTTGTAAAGACTAATTAAATTCTGGCCTTCTTTTCTGGTCAGATCTACCCAAAGAGGCTGAAAATCAAAATGGCTTTACTAGATGATGAAAACTTTCATTTAATGCTTTCCTACACTTCAGTGGATTCGGTGTCTGTAACCTAAGCTAACCTAAATGTTAAAGGAAGACTTAGGCAGCAACAAGATGGCAGTTTTTTTTATTTATTGAATACTTTAAATAGTTAGATACTTTTTCTCTATAAAATCATGATGCACTGTTAGCTGCATTCCTCCTGACAATAATCAATGTAGAAGTAACAAATCTATTGATTTCTTTTTTAGTATCACTCCAGGACAGGATGTTTTTAATTTTGTCAATATAAAAATTTAATAGAAGGCAAGCCTAGAGATGTAGTTGAGCATGACTATGAGGTTTTTCCTATTAGCACAGAGGACAAGGTAATGTCATCTGGGATAAGAAGTTGGAGTTTAGGTTTATTTTCCTTTGGTTTTATGACAGCCGGAGAGCAATTCTTTTTGGTGTCACATCAGGATGCGCAATCTGACAAACATGTGGAGCTACATGCTAGGTTGACAAAGGAGCAGTCAAATGTAGCTTTTAAAAAAGTAGCATTAATTAATTAGTATTTTGAGGCCTTTCACAGTATCATAAACCAACTGATTTTTGTCATCAGACTATGAAGTTGGAAACCATTTGCAAAACCATAAATGTAGTATTTTTAGAATCCTGCCTCGTAACGTTTCGGCCTTAGCAAAGAACCCCGAGGAACTCCATACTTTTTTACCAGTTTACCATTTAATACTGTATTTTCATGATGTGCAGGTATATAGAGGTACTTCATGCCTTCCTTTTCCTTGGCCATCCATATTGTATTTGCCAATATATACACAATGAGCAGAATATGGGGAAAATAAAGGCACAACCAAGGCCTTAATGATAATGATTACCTATTAACATTTAGATATTTTTAAAGGTATAGAAGTCAAATCAAGTTTATGGGTTTCTAAATCAGTAAGAAGCAAAATCCAGTCTGTTTTAATATAATTAAAAGTGTCCTGTTATGTAAGAACGTTATTTTCTCCCTAAAACAGCTTCTGCTTCATAAACACACATAGTAATTAAATACCCTATATAAGTAGCTAATGATTAAACTTTGGATCAGAAGGCTCTATTTCCCGTGCGGTGCTTCTCTGTGTAGACAGAAACAACCAATTAACAGAAGAGCTGGTGCTCCAGCAGACACAGCTCAGAGATATGAGAGTGTAACCTTGAAAGCTACTACAGCAGGAGGGAAAGCATACAAACAACACAGTTTTTTTTTAAGCAAGAAAAATAATTTATTTATAATGATATAATAATAATTTCATCACATTGGCATTGCAGAGCTGCAGAAGGAAGCGTTTGTGTGAGACGCCACCTCGCAGCAACAGATTACACCATTGGATGGGGCAAGAAAACAGGGGTTATTCAATACATACATGGAATATTCCTTTAAATATGTATTTTTCAACGAGGAATAACAAAAATAGAATAATTCCAATATCTCTGTCTGTCTCTCTTTCTCTAGGTCTCTCTAATTATCATCTCTGTGTCTTTATAAGCTGCCTGTACAGCCCCCAGTACTGGGGTTTAAATTGGGTTTGAGGGGGTTGTTTATCTCACTTTGCTTGGGGAGTAAAGCGGATGGAGTTTATCAGTGATGGACTTTATGGGCTGTTTGTCCACTCCAAGTACTAAAACACAGTAAACTTCACCCATCTGTCACTCCTGAAGCAAACACAACAAAGTCTTTTGGCCCAAATCTGCAGCCACAGCATCTCTCTATTTCTTATCGTTACTCTCAATCGCTTGCTCATAAAGCCGAGACTGTTCAAAAATAGAACAAAGTCCTGATATTTTTATGTGATAATGTGATTTACTGAAGTAGCTTAATATATATCTCAAAGAGGTAGCAGCAAAGTGTTTTTATTTCTACCCACTGTAAACTATAAAGCATTTATTTATTAATTTGTTGACAATATTGGGATTGTAAACTCACACTGCTGTTGATTTTTTCTTAAAAAGATGTCTCTGTGTGTACAGCTGAGCTCTGATTGTATCTTTAAGACCTTGACCTCTCTGCTAAGCAATAATTTTGATCCATTTCCAGATGTTTACTTTGAAGGCTAGCAACCACACTGACTATTGACTAGGTATCTAAATGATGTGACTCAAACTCTTTACAAAACATGGACATTAATGTCAGAAAAATGAAGGTGATGCAGAAGTGCCTTAATCCTGCATTATATCTGAAGGCCACCAGAGGGCGATAGCTGCGATTGTTACAAAAAAACCTATTGGTCCTATAGAAATCTATGGGGAAACGGCTCAGTCTTCAGCTCTGTAAACACACTGAGTTTATGAGCTCAGTCACTCATTTTCAGTCAAGAGGTCTCACAATGACTATCCACATATTATCGGCAGTCATCTCAGTACGCCAGAGAGTTTATTAGGATATATTTTAAATTTTTAATTGTCTGGTTTATGTGGCAGATATCCGATGGTTTCCCATACAACGAATAAAAAATGGATGTAGCTGATGTAACATCACCCGTTGGATTTTGAAGGCTTTAAGCTAGCATTTGATCATTATCAGCTAAGATATCAGCTAGCTAGCCTGGTTAAGCTGTAATTGTTAACTAGAGGGCAATTTATATATTTGATAAATAGTGCAAATATAATAATATAATAATAGACAAATAAAATACTATCATTGCAGTTACGAAACGTGTTGAACTAACATCAAGCCTCAAGTGGCCGTTAGAGGAACTGCAGTTTTTATCACTTCTGCTTGGCTTCATTTTTCAGTGCTGGATTTTACTTGATAGGAGATGGGATTAAAGTATTAAACGGAGGAGGGGGAGAAACAGCAATGACAGAAATGGGTTTGGGTTTTCTTATAATTATTATACAAATTACATTTCTTAGTCCTGCAGATGAGCTGCGGTCAACTTTGTGCTGGTGGGGATTGTGTTATTTGTTTATTCTGGTCTTGCACTGGCTCTCACTGGTAGCAGCTGTACTCATAAAGTACTTAACAAATGAATGTCATCAAATTTTATTTTGTAGCTTATTTGGATAAAGTGTGATCTTTCCTTTTGCCTATGAGGAAATTATCCTTGCCTGAACTCCCGCTCTCTCAACTTAACTTCCAAATTTTCGGCGCTGCTTTTTATTTACGTTTCCTAGCAACTGGTTCCTGTTTGGCTGCTTGATATCTGCAGAGGCATGAAATGTAAAAATTACACCAAATTAATTAGCGAGCTATTGCAGCGCCTTCCTCCTTCCTTTGTTGCTTTCTCGTACCTTTTATCAACACGCAGGGAGGCAAAAAAAAAAAACAGAGGTCGAGAGAAGAAAAAGCTTTTAGTGTGATTGCTTCTCTGAGTCACGGGACAGCTAAGAAGGAAGAGAGAGAGAGAGGAGGTGAAAGGAAAGATGATGGACTGCATTATGAATTTCAGCGTGGTAATCCCCACATTCAGCAGAGTCTAACCTCAGCTCTGCACAATCATTTTTCCTCCTTCCTATCTTCCTTATTCTCCTCCTGAAGGAGGGATAATGCTTTAGATATTCCATATATTCCTCCTGTCATCTGTCTTTCACACTTCATAAAAAATGTCATTTTCAAAACAGTATGTTGCCAATATATTTTAGAGAATGAAGCTTGTAGCGGTTTCTTCGAGGCGTAGCTGCTGTGTAGGCAGAATCACCACCATCATCTTGAACAGACAACTAATATATTGCACCCTTAGTAGCTTTTCAGAATCAATGAAAAGTTGGCTGTTCTGTCCCACCCAGCAGGACCTTTTAGTCACACACTTTGAAGATTAACTGAATTAACGAGATTATTTCAGCTTCTAAAGGAACTCCTGTTTCCAAGAAACATTTACAAAACCTGCAAAAAATCAGGTTCTTCTATTAAATGGCTAGATCCTCACATAAGGGATAACACTTTTTTTTAACCAGTGTGCCCATGTGTTCCTGCTTGTTTTTATCTCTCTTTCCTCCCCGATTAAAGAGAATCTGCTGTCTGCCTACATAAAAAGTCAAAAACACACTTTTTTTGATCCTCAACACACACCGTAAGTGAACACCCTGTTCGACAGCCTGGCGCTTTTTTAGATGAAAGTACGTCTCTCTTCACACCACATGTTACAGTGCTGGAACAACACATCCTTTTGCTCCTAACTCTGTACTTGTATCTTCGGTTCCCGTCCCGCTGGGTTTAGCACAGAAACAATCTTCGCAGGGTTTTTTTTGTTCGTTTTTATCCATCTATTGGCCCTCGCTTCTTCTTAACAACCCACTTCACTTATCCTATGTCTGCGAATTATCTGCTCTGAGGGAAATGAGTCTTCATGACCACACTCTGCCTGTATGTGAATGCAGATTTGGGCAATTGTTTGCCAGATTACATGGAAATGCTCCCTTTTACACATGCACTATAGTGCAATTTTGGCAAGATTTACCAAAAAAAGTTACATTGGGGTGTGTATGTACTACCAAGGCAGCTGAAATAAGAAATAAAATCAAAAGAAAATGTAAAAAAAAAAGAAGAAAAAACACAGTAGGCGCTGCAGCAACACGCCTATAATTCAGTATACAAGGCAAACAAACACAGAGTTTTATAGGTTTATCTTTTTTCATTCACTAAATATTTAAAACAAGCGTCACTTGACTAGTCATCATAAATGGTGATAATTTATGCTTTTTTTCTCAGGATGATGGAATACCTGAAGGACTGCTGTAGGGAAGAGAGATGTAGCTGAAGTTTTTTTCTCTGTGGTTCCTCTTTTTCCATCCACCAGGGGGAGCTCTGACTCAATAGCACCGAGAAATAAGTTTGCCAACTGGGAGTCAGGAGATGAAAGGTTCCCCTCCTCCATTTTTCGCAGTCCATCCATGCAGCAGGTTAGTCAAGTGTCAGAGCTGAACCACCGCTGATCAGAGTCATCTAGGCTGTCCACACAGGCATGGACAGACTGATCGGCGGGTCCATGGATCAAAGACCGCAGGGCATTTTGTCCGGTCCCAAAAGTCAAGGTCCTTAATGAAAAAAAAAAAAACCCCAGAAAAAAAAACCACACTCAAACTTTTCCTGTTTCCGTGTCAGTACACAGATCCCAACCATTCATTCATTTGTTCATTCATCCATGGCAATTCCATATTTCATGGATACTAAAGGGAGCGAAAACAAATGATAAAAACTCGAGAGAAAGAAGGCAGAAGATAAGCGCTGATAGAAAATGCTTTTTGCACGCTCAAACTAAGAACAGCATCTATTTTCTTTAACAGTCATTCATTGACATTCATCCGGTGTCGCGTCTTCTGCTGAGCTCAGATGCATAGACTGAATGCAGAGAGAGGTGGAGAGGCGGAGGAGGGAGAGAGAGAAAAGAGATGGGAGAGGCAAAGAGGCGGGAAGGCGGCGACGGGAGAGGATGGAGAGAAGGGAAGGGAAGAAGGGCAGTGAAAGATGGAGGGAGGGCGAGAGAAAGGTGAAAGAGAGGCGCTGCTACTGCGAGTGAGAGAGGATGAACATGTAGGGGAAGAAAAAGAGGGAGTGTGTGCTATGTGCCAGAAAAAAGGTTAGAGCAGAGAAAAAGAGAGGCAGATGGAGTGTGTGCTCCAGCAGTGATGAAAAAAGGAGGAGAACAGTGAGCGGTGAGGAGGAAGAGGAGGAGGAAGGTGGCGCAGACGTCACCTCCTCTCTGTGACCAAAGAGACGGCGGAGGAGGAGGTGGAGAAGGGTGAAAAAAAAAAAGGAAAGTCTTTCACGCCACGTCACTCCACATCACCACGGACGGACACACAGAGGGGAATTTGATTCTCATCCATCCTCCCGGTTCTCAGGCTAAAACCTGGGCATCCAAGAATTCCAAACTTGTACAGACGTTCTGGAATGTTTACGTTCTTATATCCATCCACTGATTTCTGAAACCCTCTTTGTTCTGGAATCTTAATGTAACAATGTTGAGGTCACTTCAATCATAATCCTTAATAAAAAGGGAAGGAGGGGGACAGACGTGATAATTTGCACACACACACACACACACACACACACACACACACACACACACACACACACACACACACAAATGTGTGACATGTATTCAGAACAGACACGAAAATTGCAAATGCACACATACATGCACTCGCCCCGTCTGTCTTTTCCCTCCCCTTGCTTTGTTCTTGGCACTTTCCTCTTTCGCACACACACACAAACACACACACACGCACCTTTAGGTCCCCTCTGGTCTGTTTGTAGTGTTTAACAGTCCTTTGGTCCCAACACCAGAGACCAAAATGAATAAAAACCCTGTTTAATAAGCAGGCCTGCTTCATGCTCTCCGTACAGAAACTCCACAGGCATGATATCCTCCGCACACTCTTTGTATGAACACACACACACTTGTGTGTAGATTGGTCTTCTTTTTTTTCTCCATGTTTTGTTTGTTTGTCTTCAGTAACATTTTGCTTGGCAGTCTTTGCGTGTGTGTGTGTTTGAGTGTGTGTATTCCCCTCACTGCGTGGGCAGTTTGTAGTCCAATCTTCTTGCTGCTTTGTACACTATTTATAGTCTTTGTTTCTGCAGATGATAGTTGTTGATAGATGCGTTACATTTATCTTTGTACATGATACATTACAGTATGATCCAGTTTAACATGTACAGTATATGGCCACTGGGTATGTTTAAGAAAAAAATATATGCAAAAAAAAAAAAGAAAAAAAAAAAGAAACCAAAGAAAGAGTGAAAAGATAGTAACAGATGAGGAAAAAGGTAGCGGCGCAGTGTTTGCGCCGTGTAAACGACCTGCGACACCAGTAAGGGGGGAAAAAAGTGCTTATGTTCCAAAAATGTGGTCCGTTTGCCGAGCGCCTTTATGGAATGTTTTGTGAAGGTCCGTGTTCGTGTTCACAGCACGAGCGATAACACGTGTGGTATGCTCATGCCTCATCTTTGGTGGCAAAAAGCGTGCCCCCGCCTTGTGGTTTCTGTTTGTAAATCCTGCTCTTTTATGTAATCCTGTCTGTCTGGAGCTGAGAGGGCTGCTGTGGTGTCGCATTCACCGTGGAGAGAAGACGGAACCACAAGGTCCAAGGTTTGGGAATATTTCCTTTGTCAGTGGTCCACAGGTGATGGACCTGTAATGCTGCTAGCTCAAGGGGTTTGGTAGAATCGAGGGTAAATTGTGTTAAAGTCTTGTATTTTTAGTGTTTTTATTCCATTTGTTTTGTGGATTGATGGGATTCCTCTTTAGGGGGGATTAATATGGTCACAGGTTCAGATACACTCCCCCGTAGTCATCAGGGTTTTTCTTATTGTATTCACCTGGAAGAAGCCCAGGAGTAAAGATGCCTGCTGTGTATCTTTACATTCCCAGTGTCTGCTCCACCCAACTAGCCTCCACACTGAACAAATTCCCAATGAGGAAAAGATAGTGCAGTGCAGTTTAGAAGCATGACCTCAAAACCTCCACCTTCCATTAAATATATTGTGAGAACCTACTTTTCTCTCCGTTGATGTCTTGCTTTCCTAGAGGGGCTGGTTTGACTCGGACCAACAGTGCTCCAACCGTGGGAGGGACCATTTTGTCCAAAAGTGTGCTCCAATTTGATTGGACAGTGCAAATGGTCAACCAGTAGTTGGAGCGATCTGGTTGGACATGTTCGTCAGATGGCCCCGTCCCCCATAGGGTGGCAGGCCATGGAAATGGTTGGTAGCTTTGTCGACAGCAAACAGACCTGGTTTACATCTGCGTAGACGCTTCCATTCACTGATCGCTGGGTTTGTCGTTCCCAGCCGTTGTCTCTCCTCCCTCGGCATTCGATGCCGTGTTGGCTGAAAACTCCGTGACACGTCGGGCCAGGGGGTTTGTGCTTTTTAGAAGCTCCATGGCAGAGACTCTGGTTCCTCCGCTGGAAGACTTGTTGCCTTTCTTCTGAAGGAGGGCCATGAAGTTCTCGTTGCGGGAGCTCGACCTCTGGCTGCTGCCCAAGGTTAGATTTCTGAGGTCGCTACCGCTGGTGCTGTGCTTCACCGGTGACACCAAACTCTGGCGACTGCCAAACGAGTCGGAAGGTTCTTTGCGACCCAGGACCTTTCGTTTGGACCTGGAGGAGAGAGAGAAGATTATCAGCCAAAACTGTGTGTGCAGCTGTTTCACTTCTCAGATTTACTACTCGTGTGTGATGAGTCACACTTTAGTTGACATTTGTTTCTCGAGAATAGAAAAACTAAAATTTGTAACTACAGAAGGGACTCCATTCTTTCTTGTAGGAGATGAAAACACTGATTACCGATCTTCCATTTCCCCATCCTCACTTATTCTTCAGAGCCTTTTAAGCTATTTTCAGTATCACGCAAGGTAAAAATCACGAACACTTGTTGCTTAGTGACTAGATTTCTTGTCAGTTTCTGTGTGTACTCATATCCACGTACGTGCATGTGTGAGAGAGAGAGGGACGCTGGAAGGAAAAAAAAGGACGAAATGAGAGCCAGCGGTCGTGCAGCAAACCCACTTTACATGTAACTGTTGCTAGGGAACCTTATACTCCATCTGTCTCACACCTTTTCAACAAGACAATGCGTATTTTGTCACATGCTCCAGGTTATAAAAAGCTGCCAGGCAGGTTTGGTGATGGCTCAAAGCATTTGTGCTGTCCTGTCAAAACAGACTAAACTGTGAAGCACTTCTTAACCTTTAACTGCCATCTGAGGAAACTATGTGCTCTAATATCAGAGTTTGTACCGATCTTGGTGTTTAAAATATGCCTTGGTTGTGTCTGTGTGCGTGCTCAAACCTGTGTATAATAGTGAAGAGGTCTTCGGTGGTGTGTGTTGTAGGTGTGCTGGCCAACAAGTCGTCATCTGTTTCCTCTTCGATGTGCAGTACAGTCTTTTCACTGGCTGCTGGTTCATCTAAGCAAGGCACACAAATCATGGTAAAACATATAAAGTAGAAATGCTAACCAGCCACTTTCTCATGCACCTTAGATGTTATAAATTTTAATGACCAAACAGCTAATCAGCCAATCACCAACTCATTGAGTTCAGGCAGAAATGTTCAAGACAACCTGCTGAAGATCAAACTCAGCATCACAATGGTGAAGAAATGTGATTTAAGCGACTCTGAGCATGGCCTAGTTGTTGGCACAAGGTGGGCTGGTCTGAGTATTTCAAAAACTGCTAATCTGCTGGGATTTAATCACATAACCATCTCTACAGTTTACAGAGAATAGACCAAAAAAGAGAAAATACCCAGTGAACAGCAGTTTCATGGATGAAAATGTCTTGTTGATGTCAAGCTACAATTTGCAAGGACTGATCAAGGTCCAAAATTGAACATGGGAAAAATGTTGTCTAGTCTAATGAGTTTCCATTTCTCATGCAAAATTCCGGTGGCAAGGGCAGAATCTGGGATAAACAACAGGACCTTCTTGCTGTGAGGGAACAGTGCTAACCACTGCACCACTGTATGATCTGTTCAGGATGTACCCTGGCTCCAGCCCCCCTGCAACCCTGATAAGGATAGGCAATGGAAGGATGGATGGAACATAAATGCATGAGTCCTTCCTTGAATTAATGTTTCTGGATGTTGGTGGTTTAATCATGTACAGGATAGTCACTAACTAAACATTGTTTAAATGCCACAGCCTGCCTGAGTACTGCTTGTTTGTTATGACCACAGTGTATCCATTTTCTAAAAGGCTTCTTCAGGCAGGATAACACACAACATCACAAAGTGCAAATCATCGCAAACTGGTTTCTTGAACATGAAAATGAGTTCACTATACTCAAATTGGTTTCCACTGTAAGCTACAGATCACCTTTGGGACATGGTGTAATGGGAGATTCACATCATGCATGTGTAGCTTACAAATCTGCAGCAAATCTGTGATGCTATAATATCAACAAGGACCAAAATCTCTGAGGAATGTTTTCAGCACCTTGTTAAATTAGGCAGCGCTGAAGGCAAAGGGCACTACTACATGTAGGTATACCTAATAAAGCAGCTGATAGGTGTATATCAGCTGGCTTTGTGCAAACGCATATGTAAATCTGATTTGGCTACAGAGAAAATTAGGTGATAATGAAATAATGATGATAAATGTCATCTTCACTGTTAAAAACAGTGTGAACCATTCTGTGTTTTGATTTGGGCTCATTTTAGAGCAATGGGCCTGTATCAAAACACAGCAGAATCAGGAGGGTATGTATCAAAATTAGCAGGTATGAGTCCTAATCAAATGTAGAAGCTCTGCTAGACGATTATCACCAACACAGGCACATAAAAAAATCACAAGAAACAATGTCTGCAGTGAAACAAGACTAAAAGCAAACTATTAGCTAATATATGTTAGAAAATGCAACATTTGTGTTGGGATGTTTTTAAATTAGAAACGATTAGAAGGCCAGAAAACTCCAGTACAAGATTTATGGTATATTTTTGTATTTCATCATTGAATGAATGTACAACTACCCCTACCCTGAAGCGGTGATTCTGTAGGACAGGGACCACTGGTGGAGAATAGAGGGACTGCAGGAGGCGTGTGGACAACCAAGGGAAAATAACTACTTAACTTTGACATGTTTCCATCAAACTGTCCAAGTAAATTTTTTACACAAAGATATTTTCTTTTTCCATTTTTCTACAAATCAGGCTCTGGATGGTATATAAACAAATCCCTCTGTCAAACTATAGAAGGGAATCAAACTAGAACTTTTTGATGTAAGTAAGTATGTGTGTGTAATGTAAAATTTTACAATATTAAAACAATTATTAAAATGTAACCTATATCACAATGACACTTCCTCAGTCAGTTATTGAAAAAGAGACAATATTTTAAAAACGGTGCTTTTGTTTTAAAAGTTTTTAGACTATTGGATTAAAATGTGCAAATGATGTAAGTCTTGGATTAAACACGAACAGCTTTGTATAAATGTTAAGTAGAAAAACACAGTTTCGGTGGTTTCTTTCCAGTAGTCTGACAGAAGAAATGTCATTGAAGTAAAATAGGCCAAAAGTGTTTTTTGTTTCTAATGTCTCTGTAAAGCACTTTGAATCACCTTGTTGTTGAATTGTGCTACACAAATAAACTTGCCTTGCCTTACATGTAGTGTGTAGTGTCTCATCTTTAAAAAAATAAATTGATGCATAAAAGCCCTTTTATCTGGTCTTATGAGTCTTCTGAGACCACCATTCGGTGAAAACCAACTTTTAAAGCTTAATAAAGTGGACCCATCAAGGCATACCTGTCCCAATCCCAGTACCAGCCATCTTCCCTTCCAGCTCTGTGAGAGAGGAATCTTGAAGAGAGGATTGTAGTGATGACTCTTTGGAACTTTCTTCATCTGTTCCCAAGTGGTTCTCATCTTGCTCAGGCATGTCGGGAACACTGGGAGCATTGAGAATATCATCTGGTGGGAATGTTCCTACCGGAGACCGAAGGCCCACGGGGCTGTCAGTCTGTGGCGTCTGACGGTCTGTGCTGCCATTAGTGGAGGAGTGGACTGAGGTGGGAAGAAGCAGAACATTTGGCTTCTTGGGGACTGGAGGTGGAACCTGGAAAGGATTGAGAAGGTTTCAAAGAATGAGAAATAAGGAGAGCTGTGAACTGTGAATATGTTTTTTTTTTAAATTGTTTGCCTTTAGAAGATACTCGATGTTTAACCATGACTTGTGTAAAAGAACAATATATTTAATTTGGTTACCTTGGGTTTCTTTTTGTCTGACAGCTCTGCCAGACAGGAGACTGTCATCCTTGAGGGTAGCGTCTTGCTCTTGTCCTGAAGTTCTGGGGCCTCCTGATTGCTGCAAGGTGAAGGAAGTGAGCCTCCATCTTCGGGGCCAAGACGAATCTCTTGGTCAACATCAAATTCAGGCTCCAAAATTGGGTCTTCCAGGAGAGGCTGAGGGTCTGGGAGAGGAGGGAGATCAAACAGGGACTGGGATAGGGGGAGGAACGATTGATCATAGGCAGTTTGTGGAGCAGCCATAGAGTTTGAATCTGACAGAATAGTGGGATTTGTTGGAGCTTGTGGTGGAGGTTTTTTGGGTTTTGGCTTTTTCATGACTTTGTAGATGTTGCCTAGAGGCACAGGTCGGTCTACAGGTGAGGCAGGAGGCGAGTCAAGCGCCAGAGGGGAAGTGGAGGAAGGAGAAGGAGACTTGAGAAGAAGGTTCATGGGCCGTTTAGGTAAGGGAGGCTTGACTGCAACAGGTGGTTTAGGTTTTGGTAGAGTGGGTGGTGGGCTGGGATCCTCGCCTATATTGCGGCCATGCTGTTCCTCTTCGATGGTGTCAGAGGCTCCATCAGGGCAGTCTTCTAGGTCTCCACGAGAAACTGAACGAAGCCGAACAGTCTTTAGCTCATTCTGGGTAACCATAGGCAGTGCCTGTGAGGAACTCGGGCTGATCTTTCCTGGCTTTGCTGCTGTCGAAGTGTCAGAATGCCGCCGGCTGGCCTTTTGTTTTGGCTTGATGGACGAAAGCTCCAGATGTGCATTCCCAGGCATTTCAAAGGACAGTCTAGACCTAGCAGCTGGATCCTTGGGTGATGGTAGAGATGATTTCCTCTCTGGGATTTTGGGGCGCATCTTACAACCTATTGTACCTGTTGTACCCACAGTCCCCTGACCTGCCAGATGACTGAGTGGAACAGTTGGGGTGGGAGTCTCTGACTGGCTGGAATAGCCACTTGATGGGGACATAAGTCCTGGAGGTTTGAAGGGGGATGATGCCTTGATGTCAGTCTCCATGGAAAGCTGTGAGGGTGATGTGGCTCTCGAGGTGGAGGGAGAGTCAAGAAGGGACTCTGAGCTACCTCTGACTTTCATACATTCGATCACTGTAGTACCTGTTGCTGTGCTGGAGCCTGACAGAGACCTGAGGAAGAGCAAAGAAGAGATGTGAAGTTTTTTTGCTAAATCAAAGTTTGCCAAACACGTTTGACAACAAAACATCCAGGATACCTATGAAATGATGTGAGAAGACATAATAAAGATGACACAATAATAATAACTTTGTAGCACAAGTACTAAACATCCATGTGTAGTTTCCTACCTGTATGGATCATTGCTCTTCCACTCCCCTAGCTGCCAGTGCGTGGGAAAAGTAATTTCTGTCTCCCCCTCCCTCTCTGGTGCCTGGACCTCTAGACTTGGAGGTCTGTCATTCCCTCCTTGGCCTGGCTCTCGCTCACCAATACTGGTTTTAGACGAGTTGGGCAGAAGGAAATCTGGCTGAAAGTCAGGGAAGTGATCCCTGGGAATGTGCAGGCTCTTTGGTCGGCCATCTCTGTAAAGACCACCTTGATGGTGTATTCTGCCCTCAGCTTGTCCAAGGTTTTTCATAAGAGAGACACTCCTCACAGGGGGTGGTGGCTTTCGTTTGGATTTTTTAAGGGAGATGGAGCGGGAACGTAGGCGCAAACGACCTTCTGTGCTGTAGTCTGAAGCTGTGATGGAGATTGTGTCAGTTGTACTTGCGCTGTCTTCTGAGCTCCCTCTAGGGTAGAGAAGGGCGTAATTCTCACCTAAGCCGAGGAAGTTGTGATGCTCTTGTTGGTGGTCCATAGTATTCCCATTTCCTGTAGATGTTATATTACCATCCGGATGGCCTATAACACCCTCTGTGAAACAAAAAGATCCAGAATCTGTGGGTGTGGAAAGGGAACGCTCTCGAAACTTGAAAGCATTCTGTGCTGCTATGGAACGTGCCGACCTCTCCCGTCCTCTCACTGCTTCGCCTCCTCCCCCTCTTCCTCCATCAACTGCAGCCCCCTCTGTCTCACTCCGCTTCCCTATGTCCATGTTATTCAATGGTCTCCGAGAAGGGTCTGTCACAGTCTTGAATGAGCTTGAATGTCCTGAGCTCACCAGCATCACCCCCTCCTGAGTCCCTCCTCCGATGATACTGTGCTGTTTGGGTGGTACCGCTGGTCCTTTGCTCTTACTGTAATTGTAAGGCTCGTTCCACGCTCCAGGAGAAAAGGTGGAACCCTTGGGTCCGTTCCAGGAAGCGGTGGGTGTATTTGAGCAGAGCAGCCCAGAATGGTCCATAGTTTCTGGGTGAAGGTGATCTGGGGCAGGCAGCCCCAAACGGTTGTCTGTAGAGAAGAGAGGGAAAGAATCAATACTCCAAAACTAATCACACCAAATTCCACTGACTGTGGACACTCTAAAATAAAAGGTTATAATAAAAACTTCTAAACATCACATATCTATCTCTAGCTCTACCCATTCAGAAAACTATTCTGACCAGAAAAGGCACAACCTGCCTTGACATCTGTAGCCTCTGGCATTAGTCCCTACACAGTGTGTATCATTTGTTTACTGCCTGACGAGAATAGCCACCATCTTTGAACAGAAGGGATGACTTACAACACCAACTGTCTGCCATCTATAATCCAGTTTTGAGATCCGCTCCCAGACACTTGGGCCATTTGACCTCAGGATATCACGTGATAGAGTGGGGCTAGGTTTTGCAATGGGTTTACCCTAAACCTTGGCTGATTGTGACCCACACCTGTTTTTACACAGGCTCGTGTGATTAGGTAGAGGATCAATAGGGAGTCCATGACCCTCTTGGAGACACTCCCATAGGGCTTAAAATCTGGGATTCTCCACCAGTTTTCTTCTTTTAACGAAAGAAGTTTCAGACTTTCTTTGAAAGAAGTTCTTTCTTAGAACTTCTTTCTTTCAGACTCTTTTCTTTTTCATGCTCCTTACACTACAATGACCTAGATGACCAAGCACCTTCACAGACATACTTTCCTGCCTAACAAACCTCCATGCTTAAAAGATACATACAAGGCAACATATTAACAAGAAAAACATATATAAACTTCTCTGACCTTTCCTTCTAAGGAGGGAAAGCGGATCAAAAACATTCTTTTTTGCAAGTGAGATAGAATCACACCAGAACTTGGTCAGAATCCAATATTCCATGCTTTAAGCTATGTGCTGTGGTATAACCACAGAACAAATAAGCATCTATGGACATGTTTTAGCTGTTCCTCGAGATGAAATGCTAAATCATAACTTATAGAACTGAAAAGTTGAGAGCATTTCTTCACTGTCTGATGTGCAAAGATGTTTTTCATCTCCACTTGACTGGATTTGGCAAGAGTTTGATTTTTCAACTGACTGGCTGAAGTTAATAGACAGATGGTTCTTTCGAACGCGTGCCATTTTGCAAGTATGGCTTCACAGATGGTTCTGTAACAAGTTATCTGGTGTGACAGGTTACCATATCATGCCAACCAAATGCCCCTTCACAGCAACAAACCTACCACATTCACCCACTGTAAGGATTGAGGGGTCAGTTTTTTTCCCCTTAATTTGTTACATAGGCCTAATAGTACATTCTCAACAATGCATATTCGTCCTGCAACAAAGGATTAGTTCTTAATTCAAGAACAACTGAAACACATTTTTAAATGTCAAATGTGGCTTCTTCTGCTTTTGTCTTCTTCTCACCAAAATTATGGGCTTATTCAGATGAAGCTGATTAAATGAACCCTTGATGCCCTGTGTTTAAATGTCCTCATTGAAGTAAATAAACCAGCAAGGAATGAAAAGATAATGGCTAAAGGCATAGCTGTTCTTCACTAGGAAACATTGATTAGTGCAAATCCAGGGGAAATAAATTATTAATTCAGCATTAGTTTGTGTAATTTTCTTTGCTTAATTAAACCTTTGGTGGATAGATAGCTGACTACCTTTGTATATTGGCCGTACTGCAGAAAGCAGTTATTAGTCATACACCTTTGCTTTGGGGCATTACCGTAGTTTTCGGGTCATAAGCCGCCCTTTTTTCCCACACTGTGAACACTGCGGCCTATAATGACGTGCGGCTAATGCATATATTTTTTTATGCGGCCAAAAACAATTTGCCTGGTAACAGTAGACCAATAAAATAGATAAGTAGTAAATATACGGTATATATTTTTACGTGTTGTTAAGAAACGTTGTAATGTTGTTTGTGCACCGTTCCGTAAAAAAACCATAAGCAACGTAATTTGTGTGTCACCGATACGTACGTATACTTAAAGGTAGCTGTGTTACAGGTGCTGTTCGAGGAAAAAAAAGCATTTGCAGTATGTATTTTTGTATGTTACCATAACGTTTATGTTACCATGGTTATGTTACCCTATGGAATAAATTAAACATTAAAAATCCTCACGTGTTATATTTCTGTGTAAATATCTCATATTACAAGTGAAACGCATATGGCTTAAAATCCGGTGCGGCCTGTACAAGTACAAAATTGATTTTCTTTCTAAAATTAGAGCATGCGGCTTTTAATCAGGTGCGCTCTGTAGTCCGGGATTTACAGTACATTATTTATTATAGCCTAAAATCTGCAACATTATACCAGATAGCCCAATAAAATTAGCTGGTGAAGTATTTGGCAAACAAGCTTAACTAATAGCCTACTTTTGCTATTAGTGTTAACAATCAAACAAGCAAGCTAATGCTAAATAACTCTTAGCTCTCTTTTGAGTTTAAATATTGTGTTTATGGTAGATTGTTTTTAATGTGGTAGCTAGCGTTACTCTGTGTTGGTGCTGTAGGCTAGTAACAACCATCAAAATCCCATGGTAATCATTTGAAAAAGGGTCTTTCTCCGACTGGTTGGCAAGCGGTTGCTGGGGAGTGCTAGCTGTCACTAGGGGAAACTGGTCGCAAAGAGGTATTGCAGTTTTGCAGATGTGTGACAACTAACAATGTGATGTTAACTTGTTAACATGTTAACTTCCATTTTGGATGTCACAATCTTGGTGACATTGTGGGAATAAGTGAAAAAGGCCCCACTCACACAGGCTAAAAGACTGGTTAGTCACCCCATGGCAACCACCCGTTACTACGGAAAAATGTGTATTCTGCCAACTGACTTGCAAAAAAACTCTTTCTGATTGCTTTGGTTGCTAGCTGGTGGAGGCGGTTTCACTTAGTTCTGCAAGTTGAAGTGAAACTGAAATGAAGACTGTCCAGCTTCATAGAAGAACCTTCTCCATTCACCGTTTACATCACAATTTTCAACTTTCACTACAGCTCAGGGAGCAAATCATTAACCCTTTAAGACCTACCATAGAACCAAGTCTGCCAGAGCTTATCTTTATATTTTTACATGCTGTAGTGCCATTTTTGGGAGCGTTTCAAGTTGCTATACATCAATACAACTGTTATAGCCCAAATTTTAATAATATGTATGCATTAAGTCCATAGTAACTACATAAATTGCAAAAAAGTGCAATAAACTACAAAAAAATTGAAAATCATTTTTGTTTTTTTTTACATTTCTAGTTAGAGAAATTTAAGAGGTTTATCCCTCAAAACTGCAAATACAAAAAAGTTGCACAAAAAAGTTTCCAACAACAGGAAATTTATTTTGAGTGTCTTCATAATTTTATTTATGAGATACACCAATTTTTATATACTACAGGAAAAACGAAAATAAATATTATAATGCAAATTTGCAAAGAAAACAGCATGTGCATCAAAATAAACTATTTCCAGCAGTGCAATATGAGTTTTAAGCATCCCAGAAACTATTCAGAAAAGCATAAAGTCAACATGACTCTTAAAAATACCAGTATAGGCTTATAAGGCCCCGAAGGTAAAAAACTACATTTTCCGCAAAAATGACATCACTTCCGGTTTTGGGCAAGTAATGGGGAGCATGCGATAGTTCCCGCTGACGTCTATTCCAACGTAGGAAGTGTTTTGAACAGCTGATTGGATCGGCAAAGCCTGTTTCTGGAATATTATGTTTTTGTTGCTGCAAGTGCTTTTTATGCAATTTTTGCAAAGCTATATGTGGAAGGAAAACGTGTTCTAGGGCAAGCTGATGGCATAAGATGTAAGTACAACTCCTCCGGTTTCATATGCAAAACAAATTATTGTGCCAGTTTACAGGGTTTCGGTTCTACAGGGATTTAAAAATAGTTACGCCCACTCTGACCAGTTTTAAAGGATTAATATCTGCAAACAAGTTTGTGTCTTCCATGTAAACTATGGGCAACAGTAGCAACTGCTAGCAACCGAAGCAATCACAAGGAGGTTTTTACAGCCAGTTTCACCTCAAAAAACCCAGCAACCACTCACTAACCAGTCGAGCAGTCCAGGTTTTTGCTTTTGCTGAGTTTGTCAAGGACCAGCCTGTCTCTAGGCCTGCGTGACTATGCCTTAAAAAGAAAGGAGAACATTTTTCTTTTAAAACTGTATGTAAATCCATAATCAATGACAAAATAAACACACATTTGTCATGTTTGTTGAACAAAAAACATAATTCAAACAAAAGAAAATGTCCTGCTATTGCATACATTTCTTTTATTTAAAGAGTACAGTGGGGCAAAAAAGTATTTAGTCAGCCACCGATTGTGCAAGTTCCCCCACCTAAAATGATGACAGAGGTCAGTAATTTGCACCAGAGGTACACTTCAACTGTGAGAGACAGAATGTGAAAAAAAATCCATGAATCCACATGGTAGGATTTGTAAAGAATTTATTCGTAAATCAGGGTGGAAAATAAGTATTTGGTCAATAACAAAAATACAACTCAATACTTTGTAACATAACCTTTGTTGGCAATAACAGAGGTCAAACGTTTACTATAGGTCTTTACCAGGTTTGCACACACAGTAGCTGGTATTTTGACCCATTCCTCCATGCAGATCTTCTCGAGAGCAGTGATGTTTTGGGGCTGTCGCCGAGCAACACGGACTTTCAACTCCCGCCACAGATTTTCTATGGGGTTGAGGTCTGGAGACTGGCTAGGCCACTCCAGGACTTTCAAATGCTTCTTACAGAGCCACTCCTTTGTTGCCCGGGCGGTGTGTTTTGGATCATTGTCATGTTGGAAGACCCAGCCTCGTTTCATCTTCAAAGTTCTCACTGATGGAAGGAGGTTTTGGCTCAAAATCTCACGATACATGGCCCCATTCATTCTGTCCTTAACACGGATCAGTCGTCCTGTCCCCTTGGCAGAAAAACAGCCCCATAGCATGATGTTTCCACCCCCATGCTTCACAGTAGGTATGGTGTTCTTGGGATGCGACTCAGTATTCTTCTTCCTCCAAACACGACGAGTTGAGTTTATACCAAAAAGTTCTACTTTGGTTTCATCTGACCACATGACATTCTCCCAATCCTCTGCTGTATCATCCATGTGCTCTCTGGCAAACTTCAGACGGGCCTGGACATGCACTGGCTTCAGCAGCGGAACACGTCTGGCACTGCGGGATTTGATTCCCTGCCGTTGTAGTGTGTTACTGATGGTGACCTTTGTTACTTTGGTCCCAGCTCTCTGCAGGTCATTCACCAGGTCCCCCCGTGTGGTTCTGGGATCTTTGCTCACCGTTCTCATGATCATTTTGACCCCACGGGATGAGATCTTGCGTGGAGCCCCAGATCGAGGGAGATTATCAGTGGTCTTGTATGTTTTCCATTTTCTGATGATTGCTCCCACAGTTGATTTTTTCACACCAAGCTGCTTGCCTATTGTAGATTCACTCTTCCCAGTCTGGTGCAGGTCTACAATACTTTTCCTGGTGTCCTTCGAAAGCTCTTTGGTCTTGGCCATGGTGGAGTTTGGAGTCTGACTGTTTGAGGCTGTGGACAGGTATCTTTTATACAGATGATGAGTTCAAAGAGGTGCCATTCATACAGGTAACGAGTGGGGGACAGAAAAGCTTCTTACAGAAGACGTTACAGGTCTGTGAGAGCCAGAGATTTTCCTTGTTTGAGGTGACCAAATACTTATTTTCCACCCTGATTTACGAATAAATTCTTTACAAATCCTACCATGTGAATTCATGGATTTTTTTTTCACATTCTGTCTCTCACAGTTGAAGTGTACCTCTGGTGCAAATTACTGACCTCTGTCATCATTTTAAGTGGGGGAACTTGCACAATCGGTGGCTGACTAAATACTTTTTTGCCCCACTGTATTTAAAGTGGGCGGGAAAAAAAAATGATAGTCTTTCCACAGCCAAGAACTGTTCAGTGCTACTAACAGCAATACTAGAGTTTTATCTGAAATACGAGAAGTTCATGAGTATAGGAATTTCATTCTGACATTCCCAGATTCTTTTTTTTCTCTCTCTTTCTCTTGTCTTTGAAGGTTGCGGCACACTTTATGTGAGGAGTAATAAGATCTGCACCATGGAGGGAGGGTAAAGAGCTCCCTATTATGGTCTCACACACACACCTGCAGGTAAGGTTGTGTCGAGGTCAGAGTGTGTCTTCCTCAGTGGGAGATTCTGGTGCGGTGTGTCAGTAACAGGCTCCAGGGAGTGGGGCTGGTGGGGGAAAGGGTCCCCGGGAGAGGGGGAAGGGGACGGAGAGTGCTGGAGAAGATCAACACCGTGGAATTTCAATCCTCTCCCTTCACCTGCAAGAGGAAGACAGCAGCAAGAAGGTCAGCAGGAGGGTGGGAAGACTAATTTTACCTGACACGCATTAAATTAAATAAAACAATAAATCCAATCATGTTGTTGACATGGCAATAAAGTATTAGATTATGGCTCTTGAGAGACAGCGATGTGAAGGCAGATCATTTGATATGATTTCAAGTCTCTCTTAAAAGGCTGCAGTGCTTTCCTCTCACAACTCTCGTTAACACAAACATGATTTACTGCTTCTATTAAACATTCACTCAGGTCACTTTAGTGAGACACAGTGTCAACCATAACTCTGTATTTGCATCAGGAGGCAACTTTTGGAGGTGAAAAAGGAAGAAAATGTGGGAACTGCCATTTCTCTAGTGGCCACTTCCCTGGTGAAGATGACCTGCTGAAGTTCAAAGTGAGCATTAGGAAGGGGAAGAAAGATGATTTAAGTGATTTTCCATGTTGTTGGTGCCAGATGGGTTGATCCATTTCAGAAATCTTGATCTGCGGAGATTTTTCCAATGACCATCTCTAGGGTTTACAGAGGATGGTGTGCAAATAAGCAAATATCCACTGAGCAGCAGTCCTCTGGGGGAAAATGCTTTGTTGATACCCAGAGGTCAGAGGAGAAAAGACTGCTTTGAACAGACAGGAACTCAAATAACCGATCGTTACAGCCAAGATACGGAGAAGAGCATCTCTGAATTTGTAACACATCAAAGTTCGAAGGAGTTGGGCTACAGCAGGAGAAGACCAGACTGGGTGACAGGTAAGAAGAGGACACACAGGCTCCCCAAAACTGGACAGTAGAAGACTGGAAAAATGCTGCCTGGTTTGATGAGTCATGATCTCTGCTGCAACATTTGGATGGTAGGTTTTGGGCATCTTCTGATGGCTGCAGCAGGATAACACACTGCATCTCAAAGCTCAAATCATGTGCGGTCGACAAATCTGCAGCAGCTGCGTGATGCCGTCATGTGAACGTGGACCCAAATCTGTGAGCAATGCTTCCAGCACCTTGTTGAATCTTTGCCACAATGAATTAAGGCAGCTCTAAAGAAAAAAGGGAGTACACCCAGTACTAGAAAGATGTATTTCTACATTTCTTTTTCTAAATTTCTATATTATCTGTCTAATTCTCTCAGCTTACAAAACTCTCATACAATTGCTAGAGGCATTGACAACACTTCAGGTGATAAGACTAAGAAAAGAATTCAAAACTCAGGTAGCAGTTTAGGCAAATTTGCGAGTAAAACAAAGTCAAGTGGAAGTCCAATTCTCCCAACAATGCTTTTTGGTTGATACCGCCTGAATATTTTTCACTATAAAGAGATTTCAAATCAAGACTGTTTACATAAATAGTGTCTAATTAAAGATGCATTAAGAACTCTGTTGATTTGCCCTTTTAATATTAACGTTTACTCTAAAATAGGATACAATTAATGTCACAGAGTTGCCTGAAGTTGGTAGTTGTTTCCACTCTTCTTTATTTCCTGTCGCACAATTGCTAATACTTCAAGTGTCCACTGTTTAAAGTTGCCTCTGACTCAGCAAGTGTTTGAGAAGTGGCATAAGCAACACTCGATGAGTTCATCTCAGCTGAACAAGTGGAGAAGACTTTGCAGCTTTCAGTTTCATCATCACCATAATGACTCCTGTACATGCATTACATTTTAATCCAGACGGGCTCAAGGCAGACACGACGGAGAAACCTGCTGCTCTGTTCTAGCGCACTTCCCGTCTCCCTAATGTGTTTTGTGTGAGAACATGAATCCAGTGAGTCACTGGTGGCAGCAGGCACCTAGCTGGTTACCTTAATGACATACAGCGCCGTTTCTCACCCATCCCATTAAGCTATCAGCCTCGTTTTAGAGCAACAGTCATATCGAGCTCAGCCTGCTGCTAAAATTTATGTCCAACAATGAAATTGTGCCACTTGATGAAGCTCTTTTAAGAGGACTGCGGTACTAAAAATCAATAAGTCAAGAAAGCAAATAAACAAACTGGAGCCAAATCAGCCCACTATTACCCACCCTGTGCCAAAGCAAACTTAAGGAACATGGCCGTACCGCTGACACTGACAGCTGTCACCAAGCACTCAAAACAGATCTCCTTCACATTTGGAAGTCAGATGAGTCCAGCTCACCCTCCTTCCATTTTTCTTCCCCCAGCTGTGTCCCTCTTGCAGCAGCCTGTACGAATTATGCCTCCAGGCACTTAACAACACAGAATTACAAACCTTTGATCTGTTTGAGAGAGCAAACAGAAAACTAATGGCAGATATTTGATGCCCAAACTAAACATTTACAGAAAAATCAACAGATAAAGATGAATTATGCAAAGCTCAAAGGCGCAGAACAACAAAGGAAATGCGACTGAACCTAACATGATTAAGACTTGATGGCATGGCTCTGTTTTAGACATCAGTGACAACAGAGCTGATTAAAATCCCAGCATGAATAGTGCTACTGGTTTGTGAAGCCTCAAGATGAGCGTCTCTGCCAGAATCATCTTGGTTGCAAAAGCACCGATGTGACAACAAGGGTAGGGTCTAACAGCGAACTGGCTAATAACCTCTGATCGACAGATCTTTGGCCAATGAGCATGCGGTTTCATATCACAGCTAATCCTACATTTTGAAACACTTTATGACCAAGATTTACTAAACAGACTTGTTTATTTTATTCAGTGTGATCCAAAATGAGTGACTGAGCTCATGCATCCAGCAGAAAAATGTCCAACAAGGTCGAATCAGAACCACATCTATCACCATCTTGTGGCCTGGAGATAGAATGCAGGATTAATGTGCTTCCTCACTGGCTTCATTTTTCTGACCCAGAAGCTGTGCCCATGTGTTTTACTGTCTGTGGTTGCAAAGCAGCTTGCAGATGCACAGCAAATTCAATACTGAATGAGATTTGTCAGTAGGTTGAGCAAAGTCATCTCATATAGCAACTGTGGTAGAGCGGTTTCTTTCAGCTGGAAGATGAGTGGGTCGAGCCCTGGTTTGATCCCCTGCTCCTGCATGTTGAAGCATCATTGGGCAAGATACCGAACCCTAAGTTGCCTCCGATGTGTCTGTCAGTCCACGAGTGCCCGTGAATGTCAGATAAGATGCCTGAGCGTAACTTTTTTTTTGTATGAATGTGTGTGAGGTCAGTTGAATGAGTTTTTTTTCTTAATTACTTTTTTTTTTATAAATAAACACATCTTCTTACATATTGTTCAATGAAATCCCTGATGCGTGACACTTGCATAAACCAATCCTGCAGCTTCTGAACTATAAGACATGCTCCATGTGACAATGTTTTTTTTTTTTCCAGTGAGCTGATTTATTGACTTTCTTTTATAAGAAACCAGGTTTCCATAACTAGGTAGAGTATTAGGGAAACCTGGTTTCTCCAGGATAAGTTCACCTGGGAAAATTGACCGCTGATTCCTTTGTTCCATTAGCAGGTAGAAAGTTTTGTAATTATTTTTTACAAGCATGTTCCTGCTTAATTGCCCTAACGGTCTACAGCACACAGTGTATTAAATTATGTGGCCATAAACATCTTGACGCTGCTTAAAAACTATTTAAAAATAAAGAAAACAGTAACAAACTGCTGCTGCAGTTGCTTAGAAGAAACTTTACAGCAGGTATCTCTAACTTTTGCAACTGCTAATGTGAGCTAGTGTGACTTTTGTGAATGCTAAACCAGCATTAAAATGCTCTAAAACTCGAGGTTTAGTGAGCAACTTTGTCTGGAGCTTTCAGCTGTGTCCCATGACCAGCTCATCATTTTAACAAAGACGCTCAAAACTTGAACCCAGAAATTTAAATCCAACCTTTTCCAAAGCGCTGATCAACAGTCATTGGCTGTCCCATTAAAATAATTTTTAAAAGGGACACTTGAACTCTCTTTAATGGCACAACTGTATTTGGATGTGTAATAATGATTCCTGCTGTTACTTAGATGTCTGAAATAAACATGCTTTTATCACCATCTTAACATTTGGAAACCTTTTGCTTGGCAAATCATCAAACTAATAACTCTAATCATCAAAACTTCCTGACACTTTCTGCTTCTAAATCTTTGGGCACTCTAAATCTTTTTTCCCCCCTAACAACAGCAAACCTGGATTCATGATTTAAGAAAAAGTCCTGACTCCTTCCGCTCTTCTGCTTTACTCATTGACTAACCTGCCCGTTTTTCCACCTGTCCTTTTATCTCTCCATCTTTCCAAGAGCCTATTCCCTTCAGTTATTCATCCTCTGTTTATTTTTGCAACAGTCTCCCTATTTAGCTCATTCACTGACTGCCACTCAATCTGCGTTCCCCTCTGTGCATGAATAAGCACGAGTGTTTGAGTCGGAGCATCTCCAGCTTTCCAGCAGAGAGGCTAAAGCTGTGACTCAGCCGTGGAGTGGAGCTAAATACGACTTCCTGTCTGACTGTCATGCATTCACCCACTTCCTGCTGGTGTGGGTCCCTCTGTAACGCCGACACCATAGTGACAATTTTGCATCCTCCAGTCTTGGCTAGCTAACTTTCCTACTTGAATATTCAGAGCAGTTCCCACTTTCAAGATCGGTCTCACCAAGCTGTTATTAGCAGGCTGTAAGTCTTCTTGTTGCTTCTGTGGGCATCACTAACAGACTCTGTTTAAACTATCAGCCTTCCACCAGTTACAAATCCTAATGTCTCCTCAGTATAAGCCTTGTTAAACTGCTCAGCTGCCTGCATGCAGTGAGTCTTAAGGACACAGAGGTTAGAATAGCTTTGGGCAAGAGAGAGAAACATGACAATGACAAAATACCACGTAACCTTACAGTATATTACAAGTTTCTAACAATTCTCATGACATAAAATAACATATAAGAGTGTTTTCAGTTTAAAAGTAGGACAACGTTGGGATCTAAGCAGAGTGATGGAGGCAAAAACGCACCAGACTGTTGCCTTAACAGCACACATCATTCAGACTTTATCTTTTGGACTTAAAACCTTTAAGAAATCAACAT